GGCATAGAGTTTCTTCAGGTGGAAAGAGGTTTTTACCTTATCAAGTTTAGCCTCAAAGCCCTTACTGCTTTTAACCACGGCGTTCCCTGAATAGTCCTTGAGGATGAGCTGGAGACCTTGACTGGGGTACTGGACGTACCAGTAGAGATAAGGAGAGCTACGATATGAATAGTTGCACCTCAGCTCCAAAGAGCCTCCTTCAGAGACAACGACGTGGGCGTCCAGCTGGGTCACTGACTGCGCTCCCGATCCTCCTGCAACATCAATGAAGACTCAATAAGTTCATCTCAAACAAAAAGCCTCTATTCAGAAACTAGGACAGAGCTCCACTGGTGGCCCAGCGAGTGGACGTGGGCAGGCACTCACTCAGGAACAGGAGCACCTCAAGCGTCACGGTCAGCACCACGGGCATCATGGAGAAGTCAGCTCCCCTCTGCGACATTCCTCACAAACACAATAGTCTGAGGTCTGTGGTCTTGAACCAGCCTCTGTGAGGCTGAGGAGGGTCCGGAGGGCTGCGATGTTTCCTCCCTCGACCTTTGTGCGCACCAAGAGGAGATTGTTCTCTTGTGAAACTGCGGGCCTCTGGTGTCTGAGGCGCCTTTCCAGTCACTGTATAAAAGGCTGTCAGAGCACCTCCTTCAGCTCTGAGGAAGGAAGGTTTTGCTGAGCTTCTCCAAGTCCTTTACAACAGAGCCATTTCCTACGAGACAACACCGCCCCCCAGAGGCCAAGCCGACAGTCAGGAGAAGCTCACCAAGGCCCTGACTCCTGGCCTCCTCCTGCCCTTCTGGGTAAAGTCAAAGCATCGTGATTCTGAACGTCAGATTTATTTATTGTAGGTGCCGAAGTGTTTAAAATTGTGAGATTTTAAAAGAACACAAAATTATCCCAAAAATGGATAAAAATATATTTTAGAATGAGTAGAACAGACCACAAATTCAAAAATACCATAAGCATCATGAAATCAGGAAAATTGCATAACATTTTATTCTTCCTCACCTGACTTATTTCCATAAAGTGTTCGTTTTTATAAATTTTGTCGATACTTTTTAAATGTCTCTTCATATAAGAATAAAATTTTAATACTATCTATATTAAAAAAAGATGCCAAGTCTTTATTCCCAGCTACTCAAACTTCTTTTTTTAATTTTTAATTAAAAATACATTATGATAGGGCCCTCCCTGGTGGTGCAGCGGGTTAAAGCACAGCACTAAGAAGCTAAAGCCACTGCAGCATAAGTTCGATCCCTGCCTGCCCCGGAGGAGATCCACATGGCGAGGCAGACCTCTCCTGACCCAACCACTGCTCCCCTCAGCAGTGTACTTCATCGATCTGCCTGTTCTGCTCCCCACTCTGTCTCTGGTGAATCCTCTCACCACCCCTGCACCTCTGGCCTCTGTACCCCAGTTCTGTATGCATAAATAAATCTTAAAAAAAATACATTATGATAATGTCAGTTAAAATGTAGGATGATACTCAAATTTTGGAAAACACCTGTCCCTGTGCTCTAAGATTTCTTTACATTTCAGACTTTCCTAAGCTGGGAATTAAGAATCCTAGATATTAAGAATTGGGGACATCGTTAACCACTTATTAATGCTATATTAGTTTCCTATTGGTGTGTAACAAGTAACCACTTAATTAGTAACTTAGAACAGCATTCTTCCATGATTTATAGTTTCTGCAGATCAGAAAAAGGACACAGAAAAGTTGGTTCTCAGAAGAAGCAGTCAGGGAGTTAGTTTAGCTAAGGCTACCATCTTGTCTGAGGAGTGAGGCTCTCTTCAAGGCTCTGTAATTGTTGACATAATTCAGTCCCTGTAACTCTAGAAATAGCAGCATTTTGCTTCTAGAACAGCAGAAGAACCTCACTAACTTCAGGAAAAGTTTAAGCCCACTGTGAAAGAATCTACCTGGTTATGTTAGGCACATAAAAGATATTCTTCCTTCTGACTGACTTTAAGTTGAACTATCAGGGATGTTAATTATATTTGCAAAACCCTCAATCACTTTCCAGGTCCTTCCCACACTTGGGGGAACTCTAACATCCACAGCCATGACTGTCCTATTGTATTGGTGCGTGTGACTTTATCTTTACCCCCCAAAAAAGAAATCATTTAGTGGCTAATCCACAAGCAGTCAATAAGCAAAGTCATCATCCAGCAAAGGTGTGGAATCCGAGTTACAGGAGTGGGGTGCACAGGTTGGGCAGCAATGAGCATGAAACTACCAAAGCTTTATGGGTAGCTGAGGAGGTGGATGTAGTTTTCTGTGTTGGAAAGCTGAAGACAATAGACTTTGATGTATCATTAGCAAAGGGACAGCAACATGAAGCAATTTCAGATATTAACACCGGCGTCAAAAGAAATTTTTGTTTGACAACCATCCCTGATATTTCAGTCTATGGATTCTTACTGGCAAAGATGAACATACATACTGAAGTGACAGTGAGCCATGGAAATAAATCCCACTTATTGATAAATATATAACAGGAATATAAATAACAGGAAATTCTTCAATATATGGCAACAAAACACAATTCTTAAAATCTGTGCATAAAAAAAGAATACCTTTGAGAAATTAGGTGTGTTTGATGGAATGTAAATGAAAATATCACATATCAAAATTTCTGGGAAAGCAAGCAGACCAGAGAAGAAACTTTTAAACACTAAATGAAATATTAGAAAAGATGGTGGCCCAAATGAATAATAGAAAGTCTTGCCTCAAAACCTAGGAAATAAAGAGGAAAACTAAACCAAACAAATATAAAGAAGATAATAATAAAAATAAAGATAGAAGTCAATGAAGTTGAAAATAAAAATAGAGAAAAATCAATGAAGTAAAGACTGGTTCCTTAAAATATCAATAAAACTAAATTAGCAGAATAGACACAGTGGGGGAAAAAAAAGGAGTAACAGGAAAGCAGGCTAACAGAAATGGAGCATCCTCTTTGGTTTATGCATATGAGTCTGCCAGCTGGGACTGTGGGATCAAACTCGGAACACTCTGTCAAGTAAAAAACCTCTCCCACAAAACTCCACATAGTGTGTGATCCTATTTATATGAAATGTTCAGAAAGGGCAATCCACAGAGAAGGAAAGCAGGCTGCTGGCTGCAGGGCTGAGGGAGGGGGGTTGAGTGCTTAACGGGTGCGTGGCTTGCTTCTGGGGGGTCACAGGTTTGAAACTGAGGGGCGTTGCACCCAGTGTCAAGGTACTGCATGCCACTCAGTTGTTCACTTTCCAAGGGTGGGCTACACGTCAAGTGATTTAACCTCAGAAAAGTTATTTTTTTAACGTTGATAAAAATTTGAAGAGCAAAGAACTCACAATTTAACCCATTCTATCAGATTTTGTTTATTGAATTGTTTCTCTCTGTGCCGCCTATTTAGAAAACCCCTTAATGCAAAAATTTCCTGGGCTTCGCGTTAGGACGTGGGGCCGGAACCCAGCGCAGGGTTCAGGTGCAGGCGGCAGGTGCCTCCCAGGCACTGTGCTCACAGCACAGAGGTAGGTGGCAGAGTCCCCGGGCTGAGCAGCTGCAATGTACAGAGCACTGTGGGTTGACGATGTATCCAGCAAGGCTCTAATTCTTCCACTTGCTCGTTCTCTCTCATTTGACTGAATCACCAGCAGAGAGGTGAGTCCTCTCCCAGGCTCCTGCCTAAACCATTGCAGAAAGTAAATGCCGCTGTCAGTGAAGCTGCAGTTGAGACCCGGGCTGTCTTCTTCCTGGACACGCAGAAGTGCGGGGCTCTGACTCACCTCCTGCTTACTGCTCCCCACTGTCAAATGAGACCACAGAAAGGGGCTGGTTAGTACCTCCTTATTCAATGTCTTTAGAAGTTCTGTGAAAACCATACAGAAAAGGCTCCCTGTTTTGCTTTTTCCCTGGGGAGGATGTCTCAGGATCTGATTCTTCTTTGCCCTAATCCACATCCCTTCAACTTACTGTTTAGTTGCAGCCAAAAGATGAGCAGACTTAGGGCTCTGTCCATTCTCTGTTACTCAGACCCACCGAGAACTGAACTCTTGAGTCTGTGAGATGACAAGGGCTGGCAAGATAAAGCACCTGTCTTGCTCCCTCACATGCTCAAACATTTCTTCAGGAGACAGAGTGGATCTGGCCA